CTAATGAGTAAATGACTAAGGCAGGTTGAACTTGTAAATTGTGTATTGCCCTGGATTGCTTTAATACATACTGTTCAAACTAATGCCCCATGCTTTATAATCCAAGGAATGTAGTTAGACAGTCTCACATTAGACACTCTCTATATTTCTGGGCACTGGAGAAAGTGCAAGATGGGAAAACACGGCTCTTACTTGTAGAGAACAAATATCCTGTGAACTAGACAGGAAAAGCAAATTAAATGGCACATTAGCAAAGTTATGTACCTGTTCATTTATTCACTAGACAGCCAGAAAGCAACACTATGCTCTGAGCAAGTACTGTGGAGCAGCTTCCTCTAATATTCAAACTCCACCCTGCAGGGAAGCTCTTAAGACAGAAAGAAAGCAACTCAAAATAGCTTTAGGAGGTGCCTGAAACTGACCAGATTTGCCAGGCTTTTCCCTCTGAGAACACTATGAGAACCAACCAGGTTTTTAGAAGAAACCAACAGAGTTGCCTGGAAGGGGTTTAGACTAACTGAGACAATTGAGAAGAATATTCTCAAATCTGTGGAATGGTGTGGGAAGTTCCTTTGTCTATGTGTTGCTTTTATTGGTTAATGAGTAAAGAAACTGCCTTGGCCTGTTGATAGGGCAGAACTTAGGTAGGTAGGGAAAACTGGACTGAATGTTGGGAGAAGGAAAGTGGAGAGAGAGATGCCATGGAGCTGCTGGAGACAGAAGCTGGAAATTTTACCTGGTAAGCGACTGCTACGTGACAATATACAGATTAATAGAAATGGGTGTAATTAATATGTAAGAGTTAGCTAATAAGAAGCTAGAGCTTATGGGTCAAGCAGTATTTTAAATAATACAGTTTATGTGTGATTATTTCAGATCTAAGCTAGCTGGATATCTGGGATGAACAAGCAGGCCCTCCTTACAACAACAGAGCTGCCTACAGGGTGTGCAGCATGTTCCAGTTTCCCAGGAATAGAGAGCTGCCACCTGTCCTGGGGTGCACTTTGGTAAAATAACTGTCTTTGAGTCATTTTTGCTCCTATTCATAACCCGAATAAAACTCACCAAATTGGATTTTGATGGTGTCAGTACTTTGGTTTCTCATGGGCTCCATATCTGGAATGAGTAGAATGTGTGTTGTGCCTCTCCAAGAAAACTTTTCTTATACAACAGCAAGCAGCACCGTTGAAGGGACGAGAAGGGCAGGGTAAGATGAAACCATCCTGGCAACTGTCTCTAATAATTGAATAATGAGAAGGAACCAGTCATATGAAAGTATCAAAGGAATGACCTTGATAGAAAGCCAAAAAGTGACAAAGGACCTGTGTGGAAGAACAATATAGCTCATACACAGCTGTCAGGAACTGGAAGGAGAAAAAGCACATGTGGAAACCATATAAATCAGGCAAGGCACGAGAGGGAGACTTTAACAGTGACAGCACTATGTGGTGATTTTCATTTATATATAATAATTCAAACCACTGTGAAGACACATGGTAAAACTGGGTACTTAAAAATTTAAATAAAACTTGGGAAGCAGATATCTGTGATTTTGATACCAGCCCATTCTACGTAGAAAATTTCAAGTCAGCCAGAGATAAAGCCTGAGATAGCCTTAAAAATTGAAAGTAAAAGAAAAGAAATAAAGTAAGTTTGTTACTATTGCTGTCATGCAAGCAAATGAGGATAGAAGCATCCAAAAAAACGAAAGGACCAGAATGTATTTTTGAAAACACTGTGCACGCACACACACACACACACACACACACACACACCACATATACACACATACATACACAAGTGTGCACACACATACACAAACATACCACATACACACTAGAAAAGGGTTCACCAGAAACACTGACTAATGTGAAGGATGGATGGTGGGTGAATGGATAAATGTGGATGTGTAGGTAATAGCTGGCAGTTAGGCATACAGACGGTAGACAGATGTATAGAGATAAACTTATATCAATTGCCATGTGAGCTTACATGCTGAGGATCCCGATGGATGACTGGCAAGCAGAATACTATGAAAGCATTTCTGTTTTGATAACCAGTAGCAGCATTCCTACGCTGGGCTTCCAGCTGAGTCAGACAATGAATTCTCCCTCTTTCAGTGACTGACACTGCTCAGGTGAAGCTAATTGGATATCTACCCAAACCCACCTGGGAACAACTTTTATCCAGTTCACTTGTTCAAATGTTAATCTCTTCTAGTACTGTCTTTACAAGCTCACCCAGGAGAAAATTTGACCAAATGTCTAAGCAGGATTTTTTAAATTTTCTCCACTCATGACCCCTTAGAAATAATTGTTTACCCCATGCATCAATTTATATTTATTGATATAAATCTTAAAGAATTTTAAAGAAATTTACTTATACCAATCATTTGATATATGCATTTTTTATCATTTGTTAGAGAGTGAAAATACATTTATTCAATATTGAGATGTATAAACATTTTAATTTTTACTCAAAAACATAAATGTTTGGTCAGATGTCATACTGAAAGATACATAGTATCAATCTTTTTTGGAGTTAGTTGATATTTTGGTTTTAAAATAATCAATGCTGAGAAAATTGCTACATATTAAGTTCCCACTGTAAAATGGAAAATATGTATAAACCTATTTCAGAAACTGTAGGAAATTCTGTTCTCATCTCAAATAAGAATATTTGTTTTTAATGAAACTCAAACAAGCACTTCTCCAATAACAAATTAAATATTTAAACAAAGTACAATGTAAATATACTAATTTGATCCACACTGAGGAGTGAAAATAGAGAAATGTGTATGTACATTGAAAACACTGCAGTTTATAACATAGCAAGCATCTTCAATCTGAGCTGAGGTGATCCGGATATCATTGATTGACATTTACTCAAAAAAGGGGTGTTGCAGTCAACATCAAGGCACCAGTGAAATCCACTATCAGGATGGACCAGTGCTTGCAGTAATCACGACCAAATTTTACCTTTGATTTTGAGTTAACTTTTGGTTGTTTCACGGCTAGAATCTTTTCCTAGAGTCACCTTTTGCCACCCCCACATTCTGTTATGCAAAACCAAATATTGGATCTTGACACAAAGTTGCAGAAGTTGCGACATAAGGACCTGTTCTCATGGCTTGTTCAGCCTGTTTCCTCCCATCATCCAAGACCATCTGCCAAGGGATAGCATCACCTACAATGAGACCAGTGCTTCTCTACCTGTAGGAGGAGCTGCTTGTTCATCCCAGTCACCCAGAACCAAAATAATCACACAGAAATTGTATTAATTAAAACACTGCTGGCCCATTAGCTCTAGCTTCTTATTGACTAACTCTTATATTAATGTAACCCATTTCTATTAATCTGTATATCATCACGTGACAGTGGCTTACTTGCCAAGATTCAGCATGTCTGACTGTGGCAGCCATGGCATCTCTCTGACTCTGCCTTCTTCCTCCTAGCATTCCCTTTAGTTTTCCCCGCCTACCTAAGTTCTGCCCTCTCAACAGGGCGAGGCAATTTCTTTACTCATTAATGGTAATCACAGCACAGAGAGTGAACTCCCACATCATCTACCAACCCCCAATTGAGAAAATGTCCTACTGACTCGCTGTAGGCTAATATTCTGGAGGCATCTTCTCAATTACAAATACCTCTTCCTGAGTGATGAATTGACAAAAGCCAACCAGCACATCTGATTCCTTGTCAACTTAAAACATAACACAGAACTTACTAGTCCATGACCTTTTCTGTCTTGTTCACCCCCAAGATCTCATACTAATATTAACATCACAATTTAAAACATAAAATACTGTGAAAGTGTTGTAATCTGCTGGCCTGGCCTGTCATCTGTGTACCCTGCCCCTTTAAGAGACAAGCCCGGCCCACTCCCAATCTTCCCCTTCCTCTGAGGCAAAGGGGTCTCCTGCCTCCTCTCTAGCCCAGCTCTCTTTCTGTCCTTTCTTCTGAAGCGGCAGCTTCTGCCTCTCTCATCTCTCCCTTCCCCTTCTCCCCTCCCCACTTCTTCCCTTCCCTTCTCCCTCCAATGCCTGCCAATTAAACTCTACACCCAAGCTCTCTGCATGGTGTATCTTTCTGTCTCCCATGTGGCCTTAGGCCACCTGCCAGGAGACCAACTGAGGCATTAGTGACCCACCACCATCCCTCATGGGACCCGCCATGGGTCCCAACCCATGTTATAAATAACAGAAAGTCCCCTGAGGTTCTTAAAAATCCACTCTCTTTTAAACATCCAGGGGTACTTTCAATGTGTAATCTCTCCCCAAATACCCAAAGGCTCTCTAAAATTCTGAAGTCTTTCTAAACTATCCTAAGTCTCTCAACTGTGGGTCTCCTGTAAATCAACCATGGATGAAATACTTCTTTACCCTGGGACAGAAGAACCAGGCACATTCATAATCTGAACAAAGCAAAACTTTCTAATTTTCCAGTTAAAGAACTCAGTGTCCAGTATCTAAGGGTCGGACGCTGGTATTTCTCTGCCTATGCTATGCATAGCAAAAAAAGTCTGTCTCCTAGGTTTAGGTCAGTTCTACTTCACTGTTGGCTGCTTCCCTTGTGTCATTCCCTGGTACTTGGTATTCCAAAATCCTGGGGGCTCAGGCTGCAACTGTCCTGCACTTTCACCAAGAGCACCTCCTAGGCTTTCTTCAGCAATTCTGACCCTGTCACATAGTGGCAAGTTTCTATTTCTCTCTATGAAAACTTCAAACCCAGGTCTTCTACTGTAGCTAAGGTTGCCCCATCACCAATTGCCTCTCTGGGACTCTTTGGGGACTCCAGCTCTGCCACACAGGACCAACCCTGAGCTTCTCTGTGGGACACCTTTATGCCTTCAAAACCAGTACTATCCTGGTAACTTTTACACTTTACCAAATTTAGCTGACAGAACGGGACGAAGCCTCAGTCTTTTCTGGACCACAGCTTCTATGTGCAAACCCTCCTTCTCTCTCTCTGTCTCTCTCTCTCTTTCTCTCTTTCTTTTTTTTTTTTTAAGTGTTAATTCTGTTTTATTAGCCAACCGGAAACTAGACAATTCTCCAGTCCAGGGAGACATTAACTTAATCTTCTTCTTCATCATCATCAGCTCCGGCACCACCCTGGCCCTTCTTGGCATTCTTCCTCTTCACTCGGCCTGGTCGGCCACCACCGTAAGGAGACCGGAGGGAGAAATCAATGTGCTTCTGGGAGTCCAGATGAACAATGAAGGACGGGATGTTCACCACCTGCTTGCGGACCCTGATGTAACGCTGGCCGATGAGCACACGGGCATGGTGAATAGATTTAGCCAAACCCAGCTTGAAGACCTGGGTCTGCAGCCGCCTCTCCAAGAAATCTTCAATCTTCAGGCCCAGGATGTAATCCAGCTTCATCTTGCCCTCATCCAGCACCCCAATGCGAACCAGTCGCCTCAGCAGAGCATTGCCTTCAAAAAGACGCCGCGGGTCCTTTTCATCCAG